AAACAATTATCTAAAAATTTACATACATAATTTATATAAATAAAAAATTTAATTTAATAATTAATTTTTTATTGTTAATCAAAAAATAAATTTTTATATACATTTTCTCAAAATTTTTAAAAACAAGACCTATAAAAGATCTTCTCCTTATTTTTATTTCTAATAATTTATTAATAAATTATATTAAATTATAAAATAAAAATTAATAAATAAGTAAACCTTTAATATTTGAAAGTGCATTTTTATTTAATAATTTAAGTGGTACAGACTTTTTATTATTATTTTTTTTTACTTTACATTGCCTCGATACAATAGCTAGTGGTGCACAGTAAAGGCCAGTGGTGGTGGCCATGCTTGTAATTGGAAAGGCCATACAATTTCTTTCTCTTTTTTTTAACTGACTAAATTTAAAGGTGAAAAAATTCAAACCTTTAACTCTTAAACTGATCATGCATTTTCAATGTAATTTAAAGTTATCAAACCCGAACTCCATCAAGTGGTCTGATGGTCACGCATTTACTTGATTTAAAAATCAAATTTTTAATTGTTAACACTTAACAATATTAACCTATTAATCATTACTCTCATAAAAAAAAAAAATAAAGTTATCAAACCACAAGACTTAAGTGTGACCACACAATTTATTTTGATACTTTATTAAGAGGTATTATTTATTTATTATTATATTTATATAAAATTTTAATTAATTATTTTTTATTTTTAATAATTAAAAGGTATTTATTTATATTACATTTATATAAAAATTTTTATTAATTTATATTAAATTTTTTTAAAAACTAATTATAATATATTAAATTTTTTATTTATAAATTAATTTTAATTTATTAAATAATAAATATTACTTATTAAGTATTTTAATAATTAAATAAAAATAAAAATCGAACAATAACTTATATGTGTATAATAAATTAATGACTAATCATAATCGCAGCAGCTGGCACAAAAAGCCGCAAAACAACAAAACTTCACATCCAAAGTCCAAACAACTATTTATGTTTGATTAAGAAAGTCAAAAGCCTAGATAATTGTTGCAGGTACTAAGCGTGAGCCAAATTATTGGTGCTCGAGCTTATCTGTTGATTGTTTTTTTGAACTTATTTGTTAATTGTTAAACGTGTTCGAGTTCAATCTTCCACCAACTCAATCAGTTAGGCTTAATTTGTTTATATTTTTTACAGAACCTTTTTTTTTTTTTAGAAAAGCATATGTTAGTTTTATTTTAAAAAATAATTAAAATTAAAATTTTAAAAATTTATTTTATTAAATGTTGATATATTAAAATATATAATGTGTTTTAAATTTTAGATATTAATA